ATCTCTGAGTCTTCGGGCGTAGTCTGTATTCTCATGTTCTCCAAGTCCTTGTTCAGCAACTGCTCCTCCGCTGACTCTGGACCTTTCTGGTTCTCAGTGGCAGGGGCAAGAGCAACCTGTTGTGTGGCATGTATTCTCAGGGGTTTCTCCATGTTGGGATGATTCACTCATGTCCCTGAAGAAGGGGTTGTTTTTATAGCAAACTTTTCAGATGTCCCTGACATCATGCTATATGGGCAGTAATTTCCACTGCTTTCTCTCAAACCCATCTGTGTTGTGATTTCCTCTGTAGTTCTTTTTTACTTCCACCTGGAGTTGGTGGAACCACTGATGATTAAATTTTGAAATACATGCAGCCAGCTCTAGAACAGCCCTGATACGAATAATCATAGTTGCTTTTCACAGGATGGGGAAACAGATGAAATCCATCATGTTATACATAAAATAGGGGACATCAAGCCCTACCTTCTGCTCCAACTCATGAATCATGTAATTCATCGAGGCTGTGACTTCATACCCTGCGAGGGTGTGTGTTTCTTTGTGATTATGCACGCATTCCAAGAGAGTAAGAGGTCAGTCATTAAAAGTATTTACTGAGCCAGATTCTTCTGTGCTTCTGAGTCACTTTCTGGTAGATAAAAAGGCTCCAGGGAGAAGCATTAACTCTTTCACATCATAAGAACTAAAGCATAACTGGGTAGCTCTCTAGGTAATCGATGGGGTTTATGCTAATTCTTCACTTGGTATTTTAGACAATGAGATGTACAGTGAGGTGAAATTTGAGAAAAAGATTTTTTTTTTTGTTTTGTTTTTCTCCGGTACTGGGAACCGAACTCACGACCTTGCACTTGCCAGGCAGGTGCTTTTGCCGCTGAGCTAAGTCCCCAGCCCCCGAGAAAAAGATTTTAAGAAGGAAAATAATACCCACAGTAGCCCATGCCTTAGGAGTTGTTTTAATAACATATAGATGGCTAAGAGGTTTGCAAAATATTATATTTAGTTTTCTAAAATACACTTACACACCACTGTTATGTGGAACTCTGACATCTGGCAAGTTTAGTCCTTGGAGTACAGCCAGAAAATAAGAAAGGATCCTTACAGAACACAAGAAATAACTGTTTAAAAACACTGGCACAAACACATGTCCTTTACTACTATGGAAGAGTGTCAATGTGCCATTTAGTGCTTGTTTACTTTTATTTATCTGGAAACTTTTAATAACTTTGGTGGTGTGTGGCCTGCCCTCCCCAGCCGATTGTCTGCAGCAGGCCAGAGAGTGTGTGTGGAAAGTCGGTGGAGGAGATAAACTGTGAGCCTAGGATGGCTGACATCAAACGAGAAAGGCCAACTACTGGGATTATTACAACACAATCCAATAATGTATGGTCTTAATAAGCAACTTGCATCAGGGTAGGCTGACATCAAGAGAGAAAGGTGAAAGGTTATGGTACACAGTACAGTAATGTATGGTCTTAATAAGCAACTTGCATCAGGGTAGGCTGACATCAAGAGAGAAAGGTGAAAGGTTATGGTACACAGTACAGTAATGTATGGTCTTAATAAGGAACTTGTGTCCGTTGACTAAAGAGTCAGTCATGTTCAGTGTCTTCTATTGGAGAAGCTGCGGCAGTTCTGTTTCTAAACATGGTCAGAATTAACCAAGTTTTGACATGTTGAAAAGGGAAGTTCTCTAGTCCCATTTGTACACTTAAAATAGCACATTTTCAGCTGCGCAGTGATACAGAATTGGATTGCTAGTTGATTTTGAAAATGATTTGTAATAATTGGTAGTGTCTGTTGAGCAACTGCTGTACCAGCTCTGTCCCTGTAGGTGCTTTCACCTAACTGATACACTGGTGAAGGCTTTGGAGACAGACAGACTTGTAGTCCCACTGCACTCTGACTTCTCATGTGACGTTGGACCAATGATATCACTGCTCTGAGCTGATCCTTACCTACCAAATAGGAGGCAGTAACATACAGGAGGGTCACTGCAAGGACTCCATGAGGGAAGGACATGGAACAATGGATGGCATATAATAAGTAATAAGTATGGCATGGAATAAGGATGGCATATAACAAGGTAAATACTAGACCTTGTTTTTTCTTTTGAAACACGGTTTTGCTATGTAGCCCAGGCTGGCCTCAAACTTGCAGCAGTCCTCCTACCTCAGCCTCCTAAGTACTGGGATTACAGGCGTGCATCACCACACCTGGTCTAGGCGTTGTTACGATTATTTTTATCATTTTCTCATCTCCTTGATGATTATTTTAAAAGTATTATCTCCATTTCTTAGGACAAGAAAACTGAACCCCAGAGAATATAAATAATATTTTGAGGGTCAAATAGCTAATAAGTGATGTCGCTGGGATTTGAACTTTGGTTTCTCCCACTGCAAAAGCCTAATGCTTTATATTTCCATTATTCTGTCTCCTTGATATGAACTTATAATTATGTATTTCTAAAAAATCAAATCTGTGGGCTGGGGTTTAGCTCTGTGGTAGAGCACTTACCAAGAAACTCAGAGGCTCTGGGTTTAATCCCTAGCACCAGAGAGAAAAAAAGAGACAGAGACAGAGACAAACAGAAAACAAAACCTTTGACAAGAAAGGCCAGAGGATGTGGGAAATGTTACGAGCTTCTCCTTTATACTGTGGCCCCAGGCTATCTCATTACAGAAAAAATATTCTAGTAATAGTACAAAAATAGACTACTTTTAATTAATAGTACAAATTATGCAATGTCTGTGTTTATTATATGTATTTTTTGTGTTTCTTGATTCATTAAAATCTTCTAGAGAATCCATATTAGTATACTGAACTACTTACTAGATACCTAAATATATTTTTCCACGTCAGTGGTTTTTTTTGTTTGTTTTTGGTACCAGGAATTGAACTCAGGACCTTGCACTCGCCAAGCAGGCACTGCGCAGCTGAGGTATATCCCCTGCACTTTTTTTTTTTTGTTTTTTCTTAATGAGACAGAATCTTGCTTTATAGTTCATACTGGGCTTGAACTCAGTGTGTAACCCAGGCTCGCATTCATCCTGCCTCAGCCTCATGAGTGCTAAGGGTTATAAGTGTGCGCCACCACACCTGGCTCCACATCCATGTTCGATCTACAGCCATCTTCTTCTGCCATTAGGCACTTAGTGCCTTTTGATGTGATTATAGTTCTATGTGAGATGAATGTCAAAATCCTCATCTCCACAAACATCACATGAGATGAATAAAGAAAAATAGACATTGGGCCTGGTCAGTTTGGAAGTCTTCATCTGACATGCGTCATGGTGGTGGGTGCACTGCATCACTGCAGCACAGGCCCATAACATACTAAAAGGCCACTCCTGTGTTGGGCCACGGGGTTCTTCATACCAGAAACACATGCTCGATAGTGGACTCAACTGTCGTGTGGGGCACCATCCACACGGCTCTTCTTGCTCCTTGTCAGTGCGCTTTGAATCTTGGCCTGCGAGGTGCGGTCTTGTTGCTGTTTCTTGGGCTGCTTTACTTTATTTTGTTGGTGCCATTTCAGGAGGTTGAAGCCACATGCCCTTGTTGTGAGTCCTGGTCCTGCTGCTAGGAGTTCTGTAAAGCGGACAAATTTGATTTTCTAACCTTTAAGTCGATTATGGGAAATACCTGATATAGTTGGGGAAATAATATGGTATTTTAAAATGTTGTATTGGGTTGGGGATGTAGCTCAGCAGCACAGGTGCCTGCCTAGCAATTGCAAGGTCCTGAGTTCGATTCCCCCCCCAAAAAAGTGTATTTTAAAAGTGTGATATTGTCTGGTACTTTTTAAAAAATCTAAATTCCTTCCTTACTGCCCTCTTCAGGCATTCTGGGAAGCCTACGTTTACAGACTTGGATTTTTTTTGTCACTCAGAGGTATAGGTCATGGTTTGGCTTTGTTTTCAACTTCTGAAACACTTTGAAAATCAAATGAAGATATGTGAAGAAATTAATATTTTAAAGAAATAAAAAGTACTTTGATTTTTAAAAAAATATAAAGCACAAATTTGCTTAGCTTTTTTTTTTTTGAGACAGAGTCTCACTATGTAGTTCAGGTTGGCCTTAAATTCACAGTGATCCTTCTGCCTCAGCCTCCCAAGTGCTGAGATTACAGGTGTGCATCACCACGGCTAGCATAGCTTTGACTTCATTTTAAATATCTTTATATATTAAGCTTATCACTCTCAAGAAATAGATTTGTTATGTCTTAAATATTGATGCTTTCACCTTTTCATCTGTCTTTCTAGGTGGTGAACCATGGAGCCTGGCTCAGTGGTTCGAGCGATCTTTGACTTCTGCCCTAGTGTATCAGAAGAACTGCCGCTCTTTGTGGGTGATGTCATTGAGGTGTTGGCAGTGGTAGATGAATTTTGGCTTCTAGGAAAGAAGGAGGATGTTACAGGTAAGAGGCTCATAATTTCTCTTATACACAATGAACCACGCAGCCCATCTCTTCTTTCCACACTAAAAAGGTGTGAGGACCCATGTCAAGAACTTCAGAATCCTTTTATGTTTTCCTTCTGTATGTATATTGTGGTCTGTACCTGTGAGGAGGTAGTTTTTATTATCAGTCCATCACTCCTCCTCGATTAGGAGGCTGAATGTTAGATACCAGCTGTCCCCAGCCTGGTTTTGTGCAGCTGTTATTCCCTTGCCCTGGCCAGCTTGTGATCCTTTGACTTCAGCGCAGTTATCTAAGATGCACATTCTCTCTCTCTTCAGAACCCTTGTTGTTTACTATTCCTTTCACAACCAGGCTTGCTTCTGGGTGATGAAATGTAAGGTGCTCATTATCTTACTACTCTGGATATGTTCTTGTGACAATTCCTATTTTGTCTTTCATTCTTTTCAAGGGACCCTGATTCCTCCTTTTCACTCCTTTCTAGATCTCTTTTGACCCAAATTGATTACAGTTGCCCTCTACTCTAGAAGCCCTGTCCCACATTCCATGATTTTAGTTACCTTTCTTTTTAAAAAACATACATTCATATAGGGCATGGTGGCTCATGCCTGTAATCTCAGCACTGTGGAAGTTGATGCAGGAGGATCACCATGAATTCGAGGGCAACATGGGCTACATAGTGAGTTCAAAGCCAGCCTGGGCTACCTAGTGAGACCCTGTCTCCAAAAAACCAGAAAACATAAAATAACATATACATTAACATAGACTTCTTTTTTTTTTTTTTTTTTTTTGGTTTTTCTCCGGTACCAGGAACTGAACTCATGACCTTGCGCTTGCCAGGCAGGCGCTTTGCCGCTGAGCTAAATCCCCAGCCCCTAACATAGACTTCTTAACTACTGTAGGGAAGGGCAGACATTTTCTTTACATACTATGCACCTGTGTTAATCCAATCCTTCTCATATGTGTGGTCTGGATGGACAGTGAGACACAGTCTGAGAGCAGACCCTGGGGACACTTAACCCATATTTGGGTGATAGATTATTTCCCAGTGGAAGCCTGCTGAGACTTCACTGCTGAGTAGAAGTTAGCAAGGCAGAGAGCGTTACTTATTTAGAAACCCTAAATGGGTTGGCAACACAGAGGGACTGAGGAAAGCTGCTTAGGCACAAAACATGGATAGCTGAGGGGCAGGTGGGACTGAAGAGGAAAACAGAGCTGCCTGTGGAAGCCGAGTGTGCCAGGAGGCGGGAACCTGGGGGAGTGCTTTAAGCATGGTCAGATTTACACTTGGGAAGCTCACTGCTACAGGCGGAAGAATACTACGGAGGGGAAAAGCTGAAGGCAAGGGAGTAAGTTAGAGATTATCGCAGTCATCCAGATAGGAGGCGAATACTCAGATCAGCGTGGTACCACGTCTCTGGGAATTAGTACACAGATTCAAGAGACATGGAGAAGATAGAATCAGACTTTCTTAGTTTCCTAACTAACAGTCTCTGTCTCTCTATACACACCTATTAAAACCCTGGGCATATTCTAACTGGAATACTTTCTTACACAATTTTTTCTTCTTCTTCCTGACCAGTTATCTACTGTCTTTAAACTTATTTGTGCACCTATGTTGTGACGTAGGATTTCAGGATTGAATTACTGTTTGTGCCTGAACTAAATCAGAGTTTCAGATTTTGAAAGACCCGGATGCCAGCCTCTTGTTTCCCTCTGCACTATGCCTTGATAGTGTGGCTCCAATACATGTTTTTTGAATCACATTCTCTGTCTTCTGGATGCAACTGATTTTGTGCACTGCTCTTCTTCTACAATAGAGCCCTCAGTGAATTTTTTATTCATGGTCCATAAATAAACTCAGAAAAAAGGTTTTGTCTTTGTACACAGAAAAAGAAATTTTAACATTCAGCATTGAATGCCAGCATTCAGTATGTTGGTTTCCCTCTCCTCAGGACAGTTCCCCAGCAGTTTTGTGGAAGTTGTGACCATTCCCAGTCTAAAAGAGGGAGAAAGACTGTTCGTGTGCATCTCTGAATTTACATCCCAAGAACTAAGCAGTCTTCCGCTCCATCGAGGTAAGCTCATCCTCAGAGAGTGGACTGAAGGTGGCGGTGGTAAGTCTGCCTATTCTGGCAAGTAGGTCCTTTTCCCAGTAGCTAACATCTGCAAAGTCCTTAGCAACACCAGGAGAGTGGGGACAGTATATTTTAGTAACATTTTATAATTTCCACAGTATTTTCTTACAAATACATTCTCATGTGATCTTCAGCAGAGAGCTGCAAGATACCAAAGTAGGTATTATCAACTATATTTTATTAAAAATGTTATAATTTAGGCTGGGTGTGGTGGCACACGGCTGTAATCCCAGCACTCAGGAAGTTGAGACATGAGGAGCACAGTGAGTTCGAGGCCAGCATGAACTATGTAAAAAGACCCCATCTCAAAAAAACAAAAGCAAAACCATATTAATAATAATAATAATGATAAATAAATTGTGTGGCTCAAAGGCTATTAGCTGCAGGTGAGAAGTTTTGGCCTCAGGATATGAGCTCATATCAATTTATTCTAAGTCACGTATTATCTTTCCATGTCCCCAATGCGATAGCCACATTTTATATTTATTTATGTTTCACATAAAAACTAATTTGGCTCTGCTAAAAAACATGATTAATGTATAATAGTAAAGTAATAATTTTGATATACTAATTAATAGATATACAAAACAGCTCCACTTTACTACTTTAGTATTAGATAATGTTATGAAAATTCTCATCAGAATCAGTTTAAAATGAAATGGTTTAAAATGGATAGTCTCAGCCATAGCTCAGTGAAATTCTAAGTATTTTTCACTTCTCACACTTTTTTTGTTTTGTTTTGTTTTGAGACAGAGTCTCACTGTGTAGTGCAGGCTGGTCTTAAACTAGCTTATGTAGCCCAGGCTGGCCTCAAGCTCACAATGATCCTCCTGCTTTAGCTTCTTGTACTCTTAATATATCTATGACCCTCCCCCGCAAATACAAACCATATACCATTTCAACAAATGTATTTGGTTAAGTCCTCACATTTCTGCATAAACACAGAAACCAACAGAGTCCCATCCGATGAGGCTTATAATCCATCGAATTTTGTGATGATTCAGTCATAAAAAAATGGTAGAATTTTCACTTGGGAGGCTGAAGCAGAAGAATTGCTATGAGCTCGTGCCCTGTATGGACTACAGAGCGACTTCAAGGCCAGCTTGAATTACATAGCAAGATCCTGTCTCAAAAAAAAAAAAAAAAGATAGACTTTATTAGTTATTTGTGTCATTAGGGAATCACTAATTAAGGTTAGCCTAATTAGGGAAAGCCTAAAGGATTAACTTAATTTCTTAAACTGTGTACATGTACACATGCTGGAAAACGTAGCAAATTTCTTTATCTCCTAGTCAGTAAAAGCAAGGAATATTGGATTTTGACATTTATCCTCAAAATCTGTTTGGAGAGTTTCATACCCTTCACTCTCTGCTCAGCCTCTGCTCTGTTCTGGAGACTTCCTGGCTAATCAGCACTGGGAAGGCTGGCAGACGTAAACTGAGATATCAGCAGAGCTTCATCCTTCCTCATAGCTCTCAGCGCCTCGTGCTAGCCCCAAGTAAAATGGAGAAGGGCAGAGCACAGCGGCTTCCATTTGAGCTGCGCCTGGAATGTGGACAGCATGGACTTTTCTTTTCCTATACCTGGTGCCTTGTATAAATACTGCTGGAAGATTGCACTGTGTAGAAACGGACAATATGTGAACAGTATCATGAAGAATTTGAGAGTGGCTTCAGGCATTAGCTTTTTCGCTTCGTAATTAAGTCTTGGGGGCTGGGGATTTAGCTCAGCGGCAAAGCGTCTGCCTGGCAAGCGCAAGGTTGTGAGTTCGGTTCCCGGTACCGGAGAAAAACCAAAAAAAAAAAAAACCAAAAAACATAATTAAGTCTTGTTTAGTCAAGTGTTAGGCACTGGAAACAAGAGAGATATTTCTCTTGAAGCCTGCACTGGGTGCTCTGAACTGCCTTTGAAGTCAAAAGGCACCTCAGACTAGGGCTGTTCAAGAGATTGTCCAGAAGACTCTGGCACTGACCTTTTCACAAGACCAACCCCAGGTCAGGTGGGTCCTGGAATCTGTAAATCTTATCTTGACTACTTATTAACCAGTTAAGCCTAATAAGCTTAAAATTGTAAGTAGAAGGTGGGCATGGTAGCACACACCTATAACCCCGGCACTCTGGGAGGCTGAGACAGGAGGATCATAGGTTTGACCCTCACCTGGGCAACTTAGTGACTCAATGATACCCTGTTTCAAAATTTTAAAAAATGGCTGGGAATATAGGAATACCCTGGTCCGATCCCTATTACAAAAAAAAGTTGTAAGTGGAGTCCAAAGGAAGTGAATACCAAGGGAAAGAGAGAATAGGAAGAGATTAGTGAACTATTTGTGCTTTTATCTTGTTCTCTTCTCTGTGATACATGCTACCAGTAAACACCCTGGCCCACTCAAATGTTTCCTCCCAGGCCTTCCTGACTCTTAGCTCCACACGTCTTCCAATTGGAAAACACCAGCTTTTGTGGGTGGGGAGGTTAGACACACCTGCACTGTTAGTCTTTTTCTAGAAAGCTTTGCTTGAAACAATGCGATGATTTTAATTTCTCTTGTTTCCTATACATGACAGGTCACATCAATAGATACTCATTTTGCTATTTGGAAACAAACCTCTACAAAATGAAAGTGTTGTTTTACACCACATATAGTTTATCAGACTCAAGTCTAGGCTTCCTGATTTTCAAGCCTCGTGTTTGGAATGGCCCTTTTACTTCCTAGACTGAAAATTATTTTTTCCATTAGATCAGCATTTCTAATTCCTTTATCCTTACCCACTAGTACTATTAGTCCTGACTCCTGCGCTTTCTTTGTCTGTCCTTTGTAGCTGTCAGTGTAGCAGTGTATGTAGCTTCTCCGCCAGCCAAAAGCCTGATTGATGGATGTCAGGAGATTTGGAAAGCTGAATAGTATGTGGGATACTGTTTCAGATTTATTGTGTTTTACAACGCTGACTTCTCAGTTGTTACTTACCTTTAAGGAATATCATTAGGATTAATAAAAGAAAAAATTGTACACGAATATTTATAATTTATGTATGCGTCTGTGTATATACTGAGAACAGGTAATATAGTTTCGGGGATAAGAATTGTGATGCATAGGTTTAAATCCAACTCCAGCACTTAACAGCTATGGCTAACTTAAGTCTCTCAGTGTTAGTTTCCTTATCTAAAAAAATGGGGGTAATAACCACCTCAGTGTAGTTGTAAGGATTAAAGGAGGTTGTACTGCACCTGCAAAGGGAAGCGCTCAAAAAATGTTAGTTAGTTTTTTTAGACTTACACTGGGTTCCTGAGGTTCCCTGATGTGCTTTGCGGCCTTGTGCTGGGTGTTCCCGTGAAGCTCTACCTGTTTGTACACTGTCCAGGAAGGCTCTACCTGCAACTGCAATCACTAGTGGTTCTTCCAGCAGGTGTCTCCCTTCCTCCTTTTTCTGAAACTGCCCAACTGTTCTGATTTTTGCATTTTGAGTTAAATTTAAACTCAGAAACAAGACTGTCTCTTAGAAGAAGGGTTACTGCAGGTGGCTAGGGTCTCTGATTGTACTAAAAAATAGAGAGCATGGTGGTATACGCCTGTAATCCAAGCACGGCAGGAGGCTGAGGCAGGAGGATTGTGAGTTTGAGCCCAGCTTGGACAGTTTAGTGACTTAGCAAGACTCTGTCTCAAAAAGGCTAGAGATGTAGCTCAGTGCAAAGGCCCTGGGTTGAATCTCCAGTACCACCTAATAGAAGGGGGGGAGGACAAATAAAGAATAGGGTTTAAGAAGGAAAAGACAAAACAAAGATAAAGAGAAGAGAAAAAAATACATGTTTTATGGGGATTGGTAGAATATCGCTACTTGTTTCCTCACACATCTCAGAATGCTTATAACCTCATGTTTCTAGACTACTTTCTCTATCAAATGAAAGGCCAAAAAAACCCCTTATTTATAAATAACTTAATGGATGGTGTTTATCCATCAAAGCACATCCCCAGCACCACACACACACACAGAGAAAAAGCACACATGTCAACAATTTGTAACGAATGAGTATGAGATATCAAGATCACAGTTCTGCTTTTGTTTGTATGTTTGTTTTTGTTTTTTTGAGACAGGGTCTTGCTACATTAGTCAAGCTGGGTTTGAACTCACTGTGTAGCCCAAGTGGGCCTCAATTTGTGGCAGTCCTCCTGCCTCAGTCTTCCTAGTGCTGGGAGTATAGGTGTGTGCCACCACACATGGCTCAGATCACCATTCTGATACAGCTTACATGGAAGCTTTGTAAAATACGTGGTCAGGCCTTATGAAGCATTCTGTTCCCTGGGCATTTAGAGCCATCGGTGGAGTCAGCGAGGAACCTAATTCTTCTGATCTTATATCAGAGTCTGTGGAGACATGCACTTGTTCTTACTGTTTTATTTTTAATCTATTTCCTGTTCCAAGCAGTGTGGCTGGGATTAACTGTGCATCAGCCGAAGATTCAAGCTGAGCCTAAGACGCATCACACTTCTATATTTCTTTTCTCAAATCTGGTCACCCTATTCCTGGAATTCCTCATATTGGTGTTCTGCAGTCTAAAAATGACCACTAGGTAGCCTCCATTCCTAAGGAATCACCTAGGATTCCATGGCAGTGGCTTGCATGTCTGGTGAAAATGAGAGGTGCTTGCAAAAGCTCAGGAACTGTCAGGGCTGTAAAAGGAAGGCACTGAGCTAAAGTGCCTTCTGGTGTCTAAATTGTGATTTAAAAAAAAAAATTCATTTTTATTATGTAGAAATAACCAACAGATTGACGGTCTGCCAGGTATCAAAGCAGTCACTCAGCTGAAAATAGACAGGAAAACAAGACCCATTTAAATGAGTTCATGGAGATCTGACCACACAAAGAAAATTCTGTAATTCCTCTGCTTTAAGAAAGCCAGTTCATTTCAAAACCAGCTGAGTGGGAATTATGGCACGCTTTTATTTTCCTATTCACTAAGAGGCCCATTGTGTCTGAAGAGAGTTGTATCATCAAGTTCCCGCTGTGGCTCTGTTGGCAGGCTGTGGGCTCTGGAGGGGAAAACAAATCACTTGTAATTGTCAGGACTCAAAGCTGTGACCAGCATTGAGTCATCGATTAAAGGAATATAGAAATATAGTACCATGACCCTGTTTTTTGGACAGCTAAGCAAAACAATAACAAGTCAGTGAAAACATTGGTATCTTCCATAAAGTCCAAAACCTCACATCAGGTGCTATGTAGTACGTAAAAGTACATGTGCCAGAGTTAGTGATAGAAGTGATAATATTTTTCATAGGCTACATATAGCCAAAATGAATGTGAACTTCTAAGGATTTTAGAGAAGCACATTAAGATTTTAGATGAAGCCAGGCATGGTGGTATATGTCTGTAAACCCAAGACTCGGGAGGCTGAGGCAGGAGAATCATTGCAAGTTTGAGACCAGCCTGGGCTACAAAGTGAACTCAAGACCAGCCTGAACTGCGTAGTGAGACCCTGTCTCAAAAAGACAAAAAAAGAGAAAAATTCAGATGAAAAGAATATAGCATAAATAAAGGTTGAGAGTTTATAATGATGTGGCTTTGTATGGAGAACAACGAAAGTATCCGTGTGTGGACAAGGGTCTCATAGCGTAGGTAAGGTCATGGGAGATGCTGAGGAGGAGAGATGTTATGACTGCATGATCGAGAACACAGCCTTGCGTTAAGGTGAAAACAAAAGCTTAGCCTTTTGGTATCTTCACAAGTAAAGCTCTTCAGAGTTTGTCCGGAGCAGACTTATTTTTTTGTAATTTATTTTGGGTAATTTGAATAGGCATATTAGGGTGGTGGGCAGTTGGCTTTTCATAAAGGTCTTGCAGCAAAAGTTTGAGCAAAGGAAGGATTTTATAAAATCAGTATATGTACAGTTCATTGGCATGAATCATTTGGTGGACTGGAAGAAATAATGTTTGGGGCAAGATTTAAAAGGGTAGGACAGTAGGAACTGGGTGAGCATATTAAAAAAAGCAACTAGTTGATGGAAGAAATATATTGCAAAAAGGAAGCAGAGGGAAAAGGAAGTTAGTAAGAGCCAGTTTTAGGGAAGAATATAATGAATTTGGTTGGGAGTTGGGTTTGAAGAATAATAATTAGCAGATGGACACTGATTGCTGTGCAAGTGGCATTACATCAGATCCCTGAAATACAGAAGAGAAGTGAGTCCTGCCAATATGGAACCTGTAGTCCATTTGGGGAGATAGGATGAATTTAATATTTTCAAAAATCCGGGTCATATAAAAATCAACAACATAAATGATAATCCATTTTTTTCGATGTACTTGATTGTATAAAGACATGGTTTTGCTACAGGCTTTGCCACACAGATCTTATCTTAAAATTACCATCTTACCTTTACATCCATTTTTCATATCTTGCCTGCCAAGTGAGAGGAATGTTAAAATAAGATTAAAATTGAGCCAGGCATGGGGGCACGTGCTTATAATCCCAGCACTCGGGAGACTGAGGCAGGAGGATCACCTGAGGCAATCCTAGGTTACATAGTGAGTTCAAAACCAACATGAACAACATAGGAAAAGTGTCTCAAAAAAACAAACAAAAGAAAAGATTGAAATTGATAGGCCAGGCACTTGGAAGGCTGAGGCAAGAGGATTTCTGTGAGTTCAAAGCCAGCTTGGGCCACATAGTGCAATCCTGTCTCAAGACTACATAATGAGATCTTGTCTTTAAGAAACAAACAAACAAAAAAGGATTAAAATTGATCATCCACAAAATGAATAGATTATAATTAGATAATAAAGAATTATTTTTTATAGAGCAAATGATTATAAAGCTAGATTAATGTTTTTTAAAGTAGGATAAATTCTTTAAGATTAAATTTTAGTTTCTTTTTGCCAGAAATAACCACTGTGCTATCATCATTTACCTCAGCTTTTTTATGTTATGTTTTTCCAAGATAACCTGAAATATGTTTTTTTTTCCAAAACAAAAGTGATACTGGAACTTTCTTTTACAATCTCATTATAATGTATTTTCCAGACAGGGATAGTTTTTGAAGGTACCTGGAGAAAATAAATGAAGAGTTTATTCCTCATACCCTGTACCTCCAAGAAAGAACCCATTTCTGAAGATTTCTTAAGTTTTCCATATTTGATAATGAATAAAATTTAGTGTGAGAAGTTAGACCCAGAGTGAACCACATCCAAAGGGGTTAAATTTGACCCAGCGACCTGGACTATAATATTGTTTATAGTAGCATTTATTACACTTTTGGGTTTTATAATCCCCGTGTACTCCTAAAAGATACTGAGACCCCAAGGAGAACTTTTGCTTCTGTATACTGTATCTATTGATATTTCTAATATCATCTCTTAAAACTGGGAATTTAATCTGGGATACACTCCTTTAATCCCAGCACTTGGCAGGGGGAAGCAGAAGGATTGTCACTGGTTTGAGGCCAGCCAGGGCTGTATTATGATTTTAAGGCCACACTGAAGTACATTGCAAGACCCTGTCTCAAAACAAAGAAACAAAACCTGGGAAGTTTTTAAAAAACTGTTTATCAATTCCCCCAAAAACCCATGACATATTAACATGAATATAAAAAAATTCATATATTAACATAAACAACATATTTTTATAAAAAATAACTTACTGTTCAAACAAAAAACATTTAGTGAGGGTGACATTGGTTTACATTTTTGTAAATCTTTTCAGTGTTTGGCTTAATAGAAGAAAGCTGGATTTTCATTTTTGTATCTGTGTTCAATCTATTACAATATGTTGTTCATGTTGAAATATATTTTAAAAATCCATCTTCTCACAGATATGTAATGGGAACCAGGTGGAGTATTTTAATATTCATTGTGAATATTCTCTTTGATACTGCGTCAAAATCCAAGTAGTTTCTTAAGGGTTAATTGCAGTGTGGGATCTGAAACTGTATCAGTAAATTTTCATACTGTTACACTAAAGTCCATTAATCTGGATTTTGTAATGAGTCTTTTATTTGGGAATGATTTTATAACATTCACTGGTCATTTGGAAAATATTGGTTCAATGAGTCATTCAGATTTTCCAAATGTTGACCATTTTATTATTTGGCATCAAAAAGTAAGTTTCTTAATATCTCTAGTGATCTCATTAGAAAAATCTTAAAGTGTGGTTAAAACAGTCAAGCTCATGATGATAGATAGAAATTCTCCAAAACTGATGTTAGCTTGGAAGTTAGAATTTTATCATTGGCAACAAATACTATTGCTTGTTTTCCTTAAACTTACAGATTCACTTCTTTAGTTGTGGAGAAAATGTCTGTCAGCTGTCCAAGCCTGAAAAACCATAGCTGTCAGTCAGTCATGTATTCACATAAAACAGTGTTCATCAAAAAAAAAAAGGGAAGCAGTCAGTTCAAGTATATAACTCAGCTGCTCAAGTGCTTTCCCTCAAGACAACCGTGAAAATGCTTCATGTGTAATTCCCATGTTGTTACACAGAATATTACAAAGGCAGTGTCCTCAAGAGTTGAGATTTAATACAACAGATAATTTTCATTGCTGCATCAAGGACATTCTTAACTAAAGCTGGCTTCCTTTTTTTACACTTGTTGACATGACCATTTGGGTAATTCGTTGTCACTGCCTTGGTTTACACATTGGCAGCAGTTTTACCCCATACTGCTTTTACATAATCATTGTGAATGTGTGAAAACTGTAAAGTGTTATAAAAATTGTTTTGACCTCTCAGATCCTCTGAAGGGATCTCAGGAACCCCAGGGTTCCATGGGTCACACTTTGAAAACTACAGGTTTACACATTATCTTAGTCAAAAGGCCAAGAAGCAATAAACCACAGGTTGATAACATTTTCCAATTCATTAAATTATCAGCTTCATGGTCTTAACACCCTAGGTATGTATTTCCTTGAATTGACAGGTGTTTAAAATGGTAAATCACACCACTGGTCACATGCTGCTGGGTTGATGACTGAGGTTATTGTCTTCGTTTTTCTTCCTTCAGGTGACCTGGTGATTCTCAGTGATGATGCTCCCACTGCAGGCTGGCTGCAGGGCCGCAGCTGCTGGGGGTCCCGGGGCTTCTTCCCATCCTCATGTGTTCGAGAACTCTGCCTCTCCTCCCAAAGCCGGCAGTGGCACTCACATAGTGCACTGCTTCAGATTCCCGAGTACTCCATGGGACAAGCGCGAGCCCTCATGGGGCTTTCTGCTCAGCTGGATGAGGAGTTGGACTTCAGGGAAGGAGATGTGATTACCATTATTGGAGTTCCTGAGCCAGGCTGGTTTGAAGGGGAGTTAGAAGGTCGAAGAGGCATTTTCCCAGAAGGTTTTGTAGAGCTTTTGGGGCCCCTGAGGACTGTGGATGAATCAGTAACTTCCGGAAATCAAGATGACTGCGTTGGTAATGGTGAAATGGATATCCCTTTAGAAGAAGAGAAGGGACCAGAGGAGGAGGGTGAGCAGCCGGGGGCCTATGGAATTGCCCTCTATAGATTCCAAGCTCTGGAGCCGAATGAATTGGATTTTGAAGTAGGGGATAAAATTCAAATTCTGGCAACCTTGGAAGATGGCTGGCTAGAAGGATGCCTAAAGGGCAGAACAGGCATCTTTCCTCACCGCTTTGTAAAGTTATTTCCTAACGCTAGCACAGAAGAGGCCATTGCTCTGTCCCAGGAAGGCAGCCCTACCAAACCCCCAGAAGGTTCTTGGGATGCTGTGGAGAACTCCTTAGCAGTGGAGGAACCAGGACATGCCTGTCGTGAGTACAAAGAAGAGAGGAGCAGCTCTGTTCTTCCTGAGACCTCCGCTTCTCCCCTAAATCACCTGACTCCTGAATATGATACAAATGAGAACTCCAGTCAAGATGAAATTACCTCAGGCGGGCTCCCTGCAAGCCCTGGTGCAAAGCTCGCAAAGCCTCTTACTAAAGCCTCTGACATGACCGATCATTTGGAGGCAGTCAATGGTGTTTCTTCCCAACCTCAGGTACCTCTTCATCCCAAATTGCAGAAAAACCAGTATTATTCTACAGCAGGAGGGAGCCATCAAAGGTTAGAACAGTTCTCTGACCTTCCTCTTGTAGAAGCCAGGACTAGAGACTACTCTACCCTACCTCCCAGAGGGACGTATGCCCAGCGGGGCTCCCTGAAGAAGCTACAGGCCTCCATTCACAGGGGCTCCTCTTTCATAGCCTCAAGGGTAACTCAGCCTAGTCAGTTGAGCCCTGAATCCCAGGGCATGGCAGAGTGTGCTAAGAAGCACTACATATCCAAAGAAAACACCTCTAGCTTCTGCTCCACATCAGAGAGATCAGAAAGCAAACCTGGTCCACAGGGCAAGGGGCCTAGTGTGGCAGTAACAGTACTTTCACATGGAGATGGCAGCATTGACCTGGATTCCAAGTTGACACAACAGCTGGTAGAATTCGAGAAGAGCCTATCAATGTCTGCCACAGAACCAGATAAAATTCTACGCCACTTTTCAATTATGGACTTTAACTCCGAGAAGGATATCGTCCGAGGTTCTTCAAAAGTAGTCTCTTCGCAGGAGCTACCTGAGAGGAAAAAAGCCCTAAGACCACCACCACCCCGACCCTGTACTCCCACAGCTACTTCACCCCACTTGCTGGTTGACCAGAGCCCAAAACCTGCACCCCCGTTGCCTGTGCGGCCTTCTCGCCCCGCTCCCCTGCCTCCTTCTGCACAGCAGAGAACAAGTGCAGCCTCCCCCAATCCATCCTCCTGTCGCCGTCCTAGCTTCAAGCCTCTAGAAGAGGAGGGCCCTGAGCATGAGGAGCAGAGCCTGGGTCAGACCTCGCCCTGCCCCTTAGTCCTGGTGAGGATTCAGGAAATGGAGCAGGATCTGGATATGTACACCAGAGCTCAAGAAAAGCTGAGCCTGATGCTGGAGGAGAAGCAAGATGAATCTGTAAGGGCAGAGACCCTTGAGAATCTGGAGGACTGTGAGAGTAACATTGAAAGTTTGAACTTGGGACTCCAGCAACTAAGAGGTAAGTGATAAGCAAGTATCCTTGATTTTTGATACCTGCGGTCAAGGTATGATAGTAAATGTCTGCCTGTGTGTGTTAGGGGTTGCTACCATTTGATCAACAGAGGTGCTTTTCATTTTCATTACCCAGTTTCTTATTTCTGTCACTATATTTTTGTTCCTTCTTGCTATGTCCTTTGAATACTGTATCCTCTTCACTTGGTTTGCTGCTCAGATAAAGAAGGTTGAGCCTTGGAGACAAGTTCCCAATGACGTGTGTTCCTCCTCTCCTGCTGTGACATCCACAGTGTGGAATAGGAACTCCCTAAATGTAACTTTTCTTAACCACACTTTACCAAGAACTTAAAGACTTCTAGGCTAAGACTCCTGAGAAAACTACAACTTGTGTCTTCGTGGTCCAGGGACTAGATTTCAGTAACAGTAACAGCTAACCTTTCTTTGCTTGCTGGGAAGCATTTGCCACCATTTGCTCACACAAAGAGTCTTCACAGCCCCCTTGAAAGTATGGGCTAGTACCTATGGCTGCTTTACAGAGAAGAAAGCTAGGACTTCCAGAGATTATTTTGCCAAGGGAGATGGCATTTAAACCTACATTTTTTACTAATAGTAGTTTACTGCTTCCCACCAATTCATATTCTGTGGCCAGTCTTGGAGACTTCGTATTTGTCAGACTCACAGGAGAAATAATTTATAAAGTCGGAAGAGTCAGAGGGGGAACCAACAGCAGCTGGTCAAAGGGCCCAGGGTAACATGACTGCATGTCACTTTTGGCCTATGTACCAGAGACCTCAACCTACATGTTATCAGGCAGGTAAATGATAAAAAGTAACCTAGGGATCTAGACATTGCAGGATACCAATAAGAAGTAAAAGCAGAACCATGGTATGTACCCCAGTGATAAGTGTACCAGGTACAGAGAGCCCAGGTTAAGATGGCAGGCTGGGCACCTACCTCCCCCTCTACCTTGGGTCTCTAAGAGAGAATGAGGAGAGTATAGTTTTTAAATTCCAACCATAAGTAGTAGTATTGGAAGGCCAAAAGTCAAGCAGTTCTGTGAAAGAGGGAAAGCAGCTGGTGTTGGAGAAAGGAAAGAAACCAGATATGCCCAGGAAAGGAGCACGGTTCCAGTAGAACTCTAGACTCAGAGGTGTCGCCCCAGGAGGGGTCCTGGGACAAGTTTAATGTGATGAATTAGGGAACAGCTGGACTCCTGGGTCACGTGTGCTGTACAGGAACTGCAGCAACATTTGACCTTGAGCGCCAGAACAGGTGCTTAGACATACCCTCAAAAATGTATTCATGTGACACCGTAGCTGAGCTCTTGTCTTGACAGCTTTAGAGTGCCTGAAAAGGGCTTCTGTGGGAGCCTTGGTTGGGAGCTGTGTCCCCGAAGCCATAGCAAGCCCCAGTGTTCTCTTCCAATTTCCACACTGAAACGTTTGTAGATACACTTATGCTGCCATCTGTGTGTTACGTATACAGGTGGGAAAACTAAGGCCTCTTAAATTCCAGGTAGCAGGGGGTTCTCAGTAATGACACTCTTTTAGAATGAATAGTGTTTCACTGAAGTCATATGTCTGCGGTGCAGACTCTTTAAACAGATATGTAGATTAATGGACTAGGCACTACTTGCTATTCTTCTTCACCCGACCTTGTTTCTCAGGACTAATTTAACAATTCAATAAGTATTTTTATTATCATACTTTTTTTTGGTACCAGGAATTGAACTCAGGACTTCACACTTGCCAGGCAGGCACCACGCCACTGAGCTATATCCCCAGCCCCTATCATACGTTTTTAATTGCTAAAAGTTTAATACTATGAAAGAGATACTGGTAGGTAGGTGGAGTCTCAATCAGAAAGATATTTAAAAATTTGAATCTACCAAATATATCATTGGGAATGTTAATGTTATGTGATTATTTATTATTATTTATATCTACTACTAATATGATAAAATTCCTTATCCCTGTAATCACAGACTATGCCTCTTAAGATATTCTTTTTCTGTATTCATAAAAGATTTATCCAACAATATAAACAGTTCTTCAACAGGAGGAAATTCATCAGTCTGAGTACTAGACTTTATTTCTCTAGCTCAGTCCTATATAACCTCTAATTTTGAAATTTATTGATTGATTGATTGGTTAATTGATTGAGACAGGGTCTGTCTACGTAGTTCAGGCTGGCCTGGACTCACTGTGCAGCCCAGGCTGGCCTCAAACTGGCACAGTCCTCCTGCCTCAGCCTCCCAAGTGCTGGGATTACAGTTAATCCTCAAATTTAAAGGCCTAAGGAGGTTTTGTTTTATTTTGTTTTGTGATACCCAGCGAGTGATGGGCTACATTCCCGGCTCTTTTTAATTTTGAGACAGAGTCTCACTAAATTACTAAATTGGCTGGGCTAAACTCAAATTTACGATTGTTCTGCCTCTGCTTCCCAGAGTGATGGGATTACAGGTGTAGTACCCTGCCTGGCTTTTAAATTACTCTTAAAATAGAATTTTAAATACACAAAGCATTAGTTGCCCTACTGGATAGAGTTGATCTTTATTTCATGACTCATATTTCAGGCGGGAAAGTTTCCATTTTGCATTGATATTGGTTGAATTGCTAAGTGTATATCCAAATGGTAGGGCAATTACAGTGCATTTTGTTTCATATGAACTCATTTTCTGTTTTGCCATTGAAAGTATTTGGTCTGCTTATTCTGATTTTGATTTTGCCATTGAAATTCATGCTGCTTTTGTTAATTTACATTTTAGGTTTTGCATTTTATAGTAGTAATTTTTCACAATAATATTCACATCTTCTCTTTGCATTTCTTCTGATAAAATATTTAGAGGGGGTGGGGTATAGCTCAGTGGTGTACCAGGTACTTAGCATATGGAAGGGTTTGGGTTAAATCTTCATCACCAAATAAATAAATAACAGAGATATAACCTATAGCAAATATTAAACCTTGGAAACCACTGGGCAGACATTACTGGTTATTATTCAAAGGACAGAACATTTACCTCTTTCAGCAAGGTATTAAACTATTATGTACTATTAAATTCTGTGTACTGTTAAAGTACATAAAGCATGGATCAGAATTGCCAGATTTAAGGATGTTGCTTCCAACACTTGATTTCTTGGACCATCACTTAAAAGATTTGTAAAAATCATACTGTGCAAATAAGCTTATTGACTTCAATTTGCAAGAATGACTTACTGTTGGCAGCACACAGGGCCATAAGCCACATACTCATAACACATTATAACAGCAGTGGTTCTGAACAAAACTTATGGATTAGAGCTGCCCGTGCCTTTCTATCCTATGCGCTCTTGTACTGGTTGCTGGAAATATAAACAGTAATCTTGTTTGCTTTTGGTGTCAGTATTTTCAAACTTGCTTTCATCTTGTTATGAGTGGATTTCTTCAGACCCACAACATCTCTACATTTATTGTTAGGCTTAATTTACACAGGAGAATTATAGTACTTTCTCTTGTTTTCCAGATTTCTGAACTGATTTTTCTTAGGCTTTAGACATACAAATTTCTCGAGCAATGCTGAGAGGGAATTTCCCCATGGAAACTTAGTCATTTTCAACCCAGGTCCAATTTAAACTAGTTTCAAAGTTTAATGTATTTTGGATGAGCAAAGTATTGGAACCCCAGGTATAATTCACAAGAGGTTTAGTCCAGCTCTGATTTACCCTTAGGAATCCTTTAGAATCTTAAATTATTGGAGAAATGGTCACTTATACACTCCTCACTTTGCAAAAGCTCTGGGCTTTGAGTTTTTGATCCTTCTACTCAGAAGACTGTTGATATAGAGGCTCTAGTCTTTAAGGGCTGACAAGTACTCTTATGTAATGCAGTTTTTATAGTCATTTACCTCTTTCCCTTTGGTTTTGGCCTGCACTTCTTTATCATCTTGTCAGCATGTTTATGGGGTTTTTTTGTTCTTTGTTTTTATTTTTATTTTCCTTGTTTGTTTTTCGTACTGGGGGTTGAACCCAGGATGTCACACACCTTAGGCAAGTGGTCTACCACTGAGCTACACCTCAGCCGTTAAGGTGTTTTAGTATTTTTTCTAAATTTTTAGCTTTTCTCTCTAAAAGGGTTGATCCAAATAATTTAGACTTTAGTTTTTAGAAACAAAAAGCCCAGATTAACTGGTGTCTGGCTCTGACTAAGAATTAGTTTTGAATTTGGAACTAATACATAGTCAGAATAGACTAGTACAAGGTAATTATGACTGCTATGTGCCGAGGGATAAGAATGTCATTTGGTATGGGCTTCAGTATGGGTTTTAGGTCAATCATTCATTCATCCTAGAATACTTGTTTATTTTTTAGCAATGTGCTAAGGGCAGGGTACACAGTGATGAGCATGGTAGATGTACTCTCTGCCCTCAAGGAGTTTCCACTCAAATGGGTTGCTAATCAGCAAGTCAAAGTCCTAGCTAGAGCACAATACCAAAAAAAAAAAAACCAAAAACAGGCTCTTCAAATCTGCTAAGTAGGTTGACTTCTTAACCACACAAACATTACAGATTAATTCTCAGACATGCAAGTTTCCCAGAACGTGGAACTGTTCAAAGCCATGGGCAGAACTACAGAGTACTGCCCTGGGATAATCTCATTTTAGCATCACAGTCCTTTTCTACATCAAGGTGAGGTTCTGATTCCTGAATTTGACCAGTAGTCATGGTGGGTATTCATTTCTTTATTCAGCAAATGTTTCTGTTTGTTTGTTTGTTCTTTAAGACAGGATCTTGCTATGTAGTTCAGGCTGCCTTGACCTCACTATGTAGCCCAGGCTGGCCTCAAACTCTCAATCCTCCTGCCTCAGCCTCCTGAGTGCTAGGATTACAGGCGTGCAACACCATGCACAGCTAAATGTTTCTTAAATACATACTCGAAGCTAAGCACTGATTATTCATTGATTAGTAAAATAACACAGTAATAGGGTCATTCATGTTTGTATGTCTTTGCAACTCAAATGATCATACCG